ATATATATATATATATATATTCTACCATAATTCTTTGTTTAGCATTTTAGAACCGGATAAGGAAGCCTGGTTATAGTTTGAATTTTAAGTTAACCAAATGGGCAGTAACACAATTTCTGAGAGCTCATTCAATGTTTAATTAAGTCCAAACGTAAATATTGATTTATTGGTAATTTAAGGATAAGAGAAAACCCCTGCATTTATCAAACATTACTAAACTTTACCATTGAAATAGGAGAAAAAAAAGTCTGGAGAATTTGAAATGTTTCTGTAATCGATTTGTTTTTTTTCAATATTTTTCCCATGCCTGGAAAATTATCAAACCAAATTACAAACATTCCCTGATAAAGATGCATTTGACGTGGCAACATAGAAAGTTTGAGCTCAAGTAACTGTATTTGAAATTTTAAAAAAATGAAATGTTTAAGGTCGAAATATCACCACCATTTTCATCTACAATTTTTTTTTTGTTGTTGTTGTTTTTTATAGAACCCTGTTTTTTAATTTGAGGTATAATACCCTTTACCTTTACACTGCTCTATCGATAAAGAGTTCCTGTTGCTAATTTTGTGTATCTTCTATGCTGTTAATTTTAAATGGAAAAAAAGTTCTCCCTTAAGAACTGGAATATCATTTAAGAAGCAAATGCATCATCAGTTTTCACACTTTCAACATTATACAGCTACAGATATTGCCATTTCAGTCTACAATAACATGCTTTTAAAGAAAGGTCAACAGCAAGCCAACAATACATTAGAAAACTATAAACACTCACACTACAGCACACCATTTGAGGCAGACCTCTAAAAATAGCCTCGCACAATCTAACAACTTTGCACTGCCCCTATATTCAACAGAATTGATGGCCCATCACGTATAAGGAAGGGAATAACCCATATTTCTCATCTTTTTTATGCTTAAATATGAACAAATATTGCAAACCCAAACTAAGTCGGACAACTAGGTAAGACAAACAAGCTTATAGTTATAGTATTTTCAGCATGCATGCTTTGAATATTCATGTTGTTTCGTTTTGTTTTTCTGAAAAGTAGCAGTAATCTTGTTACTTGTAAGAATGCTTATAACTGATTTTGGCATATATGAATTTCCCAAGTGATTATGCCTTAAGCTACAAGAGTGGATTATACAACAAACATTTGCAAACAATAGAATAAACACATAAGTAAACCGGGCATTCATATTTAAAAGAAAAAGCATTAATATCTCTTGTACGAGATTTGAGGTAATAACCCCTTTATTACAAAAGGACAATCACCTGTATAACAAAAAACAAAACAGGACTAAAGTTGATAAGAACAAATGAGTACAAACTATAAGCTTCGGTATTCTCCTCTCTAGTTTTTTGTTCTGTATCCCATGGGTAGCACAACTAATCACTAGTGGACCCCACAAGCACACAGAGGGAGTTCAACTGTGCAACAAGTGGATGTCAAGAACCAAACTACGCTTGTGCCAAAATCTGCTAACTTCGCCTTGGAATAAAGATGAATACTAAAAGCTTAAAGGACAGAAATGCATCAACATACAACCCAGGAAAAGGTTTTCATTTTGCAACCAGCAGGGGGCTACCCCCCAACCAAAGACGTCGTAAACTACATATATCCAAGCAAATACTCTGTTTTCTCTAAAATTGCAGGATTGGGAACAAAATTGCAACGCTTAAAATTCTAAATAAAATCCTTGAATGCAGAATTAAAAATAAGCATCATGATTGTGAAGGAAGTCAAAGTGGTATTGTCCCAAGATAAATCCATTACTTTGCTCCAGTGATTAAAAATACTGCACTTCTCAGTGTTGCATGTCTGATAAAGCACAAAGCTAAATATCTTAACAAAAACAAGACAGCAGCAAATAATGTGTTACAGGAACATAGAGGCAGCCTGTGAAGCAAAACAGGAGTAGCACAGAGAAAGCCAGTTGGAGACTCCCAGCTGAGCACCGTGGGAGGGAAAGTACTGCTATCAGTATACATCAAGCCATAATATTTGCTGAAAAAAATCCTTCTCTAAAAACTGGAAAAATTCAAATGATGCATATTATATAATTCACAAGAAGAGAGAAAACTTAGAAAAAAGTCCAACTCCTGCTAAGCACAGACAAAAGGTCAGATTTAAAGAAGAAAACTATACGAGTTGACTCACGGTTTTGAAGTCACTGTGGCTGCAGTCCTGGCCTTGATATCTGCAGTAGAGCATCATCTCCTTGAGGTCATGGCCAACCCGATCCATGAACTCCTTCATGCTGAACGCTTTGGCCTTGTAGGCTGTGAAGTTGGTTCTTTCCTGAAGAAAAGTAAGCACATCCGGCTCAGCCAGGTGTGGCTGTGGGATTGCCAGGTCTACATCCAGTAGGGCCAGAAGCTCTCCAGCGTGATACAGGTCGTTGCTGGTGAGGCGGCTGAAGCGGTAAGTGTTGAGGTTACAAATGGTCACAGCAGGGAAAACCAGACTGCTAGACACAATAGCATCAACGCTAGTCAGGTGAGGGTAGGAGAGGAAATATGCAAGCCTCTCTGCACTCTCCAAAGCCAACAGTCCCAGGCAGGCCAGCAGAGCTGCCGCCCAGAGCAAGCGGCGTGCACCGGTCTGACCATATGGGAAAATGAAGCGCAGGCCATGCAGCGTGCTGGTACTGGCAAATGCTTGCCAGGAGGTGGGGCGCAAACTGAAGCTCTCATGGCTCCCTTGACTGCCACAACTCTCCTTTAGATCCATAGTTAGCCTTCCAGCTCCTCAGCCAGGGAGCCTTTGTGCAATCACACCTGGACAGAGAAATGAAGCATCAGTTAGAGAATTAGGATCCATCACAGACTATATAACAGAGGCAAGGAAAAAAAAGTTAAAGACCAAAAGAGAAATGGATAGGGTAAAAGATGATTTCCAAGGGACATGGCGAAATGCCACAAAAACAGAAAATTCAAAGCCATGAAGCAACTGCTAAACAAGGGGTAAATGAGGAGGGAGGCTGAGACTTTTTAAACGGGAGGAAGTACCACTGAGAATCAGCGAATGAGGAGAAAGATGCTCCCTCAGGACATCCCTCTCCTCCCTACTTCCACTCTTATTCACTTCCCTGAACTGAGTTACTGTGGTAGCCAGCCAGCCCGCCTGTGGCTCCCATTACACCCCCAAACTACCACTCAACCCACACACCCAAATCCCAACATGCCTCTCCTCCTTTTTCATCCTCCATTGCCCCCCGCGGCTGCTCAGTTTCATTGACTAAAATAGAGTTAAGTCCTGTGTGACACTCCGAGCAGGAGGTTAGAGTCACTTCAGCCGTGAGCAAATAAAAGCAGCCCCTGTGTAAGTAGAGTACCAGATCATCTCTATTCAGAAACACTACACACGCGTCAAGGTTTCTCGTGTTCTCCCGTGCCCTCAACTAATGACAAGCCAAAGCACCTCTCTCTCCCGTTCCGCCTAGTGAGGAGACATCCAGCTGGCGTGAGTGAGTGTGTGAGAGAGAGCGTGACAGCGCACGTGTGTGTTTGTATAGAAAAGATGGATTGAGAGCCGTTGATGATCAGAGCCTCAGGTTAGTCTCGCTTGTCGGTCCAAACTCCTCCTGTTTTCCTTTGGCCAGAGACATCAGCTTTACCTCCTCTTCCCCGCTCATCTGTGGCGGCGGCGAACAACAGCCGAGCCGGGAGAGACGCACACACTAACACACATGCTTTGCACTGAGCCAGAGCAGTGAGAGAGAGGAGAGGGGAGAGAAAGGAGGGAAGCCAACACTCTCCTCGCCTGATCTCCCCAAAGCAAAATTGCCAATTGAATATGTTTTTTCCTCCCTACGCCTACTTTTCTATCTATTTTCCATATTTTGCATCTAGACATCATAAAAAAAGTGAAGGACCGGGAAAAAAAAAACAGTAGACTATCAGCTGGAGAGAGATACTGGAGAGGGGAACAGTGGTGGTTTCATAGTTGAGGAGGGGAGTGGGATAGGCTGGGAGGGGTGAGTGTCATGGGTGGTGAAGCAGAAGTGGAGATGGAGGAGCAAAGGCAGGGAGATCTAGGTTGAGGACAAAAATAAGACAGGAAACTGAAAAAAAAAATGCAAGCAGGGAAATGTGGTCACACAGCCTGAACAAGGATGTCACCCTCAGGAATTCAGAGGTGAGGGACACTGATGTAAGAAGACTAAAAGGTACACAGAGTGTTCCAACCTTTAGCATAGATGAGGACTTTAAGAGTTTTGATATTTCTTCAAACCAGAAAATGTATCAAAAGACAAAGAGTCTAAGTGTTGAGTGTTACAAAGAGACGAGAGGAGGAAAGCGTGAGGACAAAAATAACAGAAGAGTGTGAGAGTGTTGGTGTAAAACAAATAACACAGATATAACAAGGCATTAAGGAGAATATTCTATGAGCATTGTACAATAGTGCAAGTATTGCAAATTATTTGAACTGGAAAAAAGTCTAGATGTACATAATAAAAAACAAAATGACTGCATTAATCATGACTTCTTCAGTTTGATAGACTCAGCAATTAGAAAAAGCACCATAATTAAGAATATGTATGCAAATCCCACAAGTCAATTACTGCCTGAGGGCTGGAGCTCAACGATACAGTTTTCTTCGCTCCAACTTTTTTTATTTTGTTTTCATGCAAACAAAACTTACTTAATCTCCCGTTATCCAGCTGGTTAAATATCAAGAAACTTAAATGGAAAATTCGAGAGAATACGGTTAACAATTCAAATGGGATGTGTTCTAATGGGTCGAGTAATGACAAAGATGTGGAGACTGGACAGCTCACCACTTTTGGTCACCAAGTATTTTAAAACTGAACATGTCAACCAGTCTTTTTGGAAAGATGACACAAAGAGCCTTTAATGTGAATCCATAACAAATATAGACCTGTGGAGTTTGCTAAACTCTGCCGGGACTTAAAAGCAAACTAGGAGATTTAGTCAAAACAGTTAAACACTTCAGGTGGGTCTGATCTAAAAAAATAAAATAAATGTAGTCTTTTCTGTAAGGTATTTCTTCTAAAGGCTCTGATAATTTTCTTAAAATGTACGGAGCTGTTTGACATTACATGACGTTTTGAATAAAACTATGTTCTAGTAAAACTAGGAGCTTAGCCCAGGTCAATTTAATATGTCATAATGATCCAAACTTATTGCTAATAGGACACAGGAAAAAAAAAATCCACCCTTGCCAAATCCTTCTGAAAACATGTAGGAGGAACTGAAGAGCATAAAAAGAACCCTGGGCTCTAAATGTTCCAGAGAGATCATGCAAAGAAGTTAAACCAAAGATCCTCTCTCTTTATGTTCCAAGCATGTGAAATGTTGTATGAGAATACAGAATAAATGGGAATTGGATTTAGGTTGTATTGAGCTTTTTCAGCCCACCACTTAAAGGGCCTTTACACTGTGCTTCTTATGCCCCAAGCCACTCACAAACACTCACATTTACACTTGATTTGTAGGGAAGTTGTGGTTAAGAGCCTTTCCCAGAGGGGCACAATACCATGTGTTGGGAGAAACATACAATCCATTCACAAAATCTGATTTAGCTACAAAAAATATCCAATGTGGGGTTTAATTTCTCCAGCAGGGAAATATATTAAAGTAAAAGGCTGATCTTTTTTCTGCATTTTTAATGCAAGATACAACGAAGGGATCATTTGTTATAGGAGAAGTAAATGGGGATTATTTAAGCAAACCAGATTATTTTTGGTTAAACATTCAGGAAATGCCTGGTGATAGTAAAAGCTTTAGTATTTACTTCTTATTTGACTTGCATTATGTTGTTTGCTCTTAGATCATTGCCTGTAAATTTCTTTTACTTTGAGTTTCTGCAAAAGAAGGACTCTAACTGAAGGTTCCTTATACAGTTATTGTCTGTACCTTTAACAAATCTTTATTTGTTCTTTATATCTCATGTTTAAAATAGGTTAACTTATTTTTCTAAATAAAAATGTAATCATGTCAAAACTGCACTCTACAGATATCGTTTTTGGAGAAATAAAATATACAAAAGTCAGTAACAACTTGCTCTGCTGGATAGTAATCCATTATGCAACCTTTGTTCCCTTGCAGGATACTTAATTTTAGGCCAGTTTTTACAGAAAAGAAAGTAATTAAACTAAATTTAAAAGTGAATGCCATGTAAAACACTGGCCACCTGGTGTACCATCTGATCCAAGCTAGCTCCTCCAAATAGCCATTTAAACACTATGGATAACCTGGTCTGAAGGGAAATTCTTCAGAAACCTGGAAAATAAACTCCAGAAATTGAATCCTGGCAGGTGGTTCATTTCAAATTTGGGCCTGTAGTGGCAGCTGTTAGAAATGTTGCAGAAAATGCATCACCAGAATGGAACAAAGGTTAAATGTTTTACATGACATGACATGACGAGGTTCTCCTATCCTGTAATTTTTAGAGGGCACTGCATAGACCATAAAACAACATGATAGACGTAAGTGTTTACAATCAGAGTGAAAAATAAGAACTTTATACTGGGGCTTTGCTTACATTATTCTTGATAATAAATATTACAAAGGTCTAAATTTAAATAAAATTTAAATTGTATTAACAAATCAAAAAAACATTAACAATGGATAGTTAATGGGGGAAATGCAAAGCATCGTCTGATGTGATCTCAAGGGTGCAGATTGCACTAATGAATCGACAAATGCATGGATGTATCAACCGATGCAAGGGGGAAAAAAAGCTGCTACAAGCCAATGATGCATCGATCTAACTCTAGTTGAAGATCTGACCATATTTGAGCAAAATATAAAATACCATTAAGCCAAACTACTTTTTATGCAGTTATCCTCTAATAAAGCTTTTCTGGTTCCATCTTATTCAGCAATGAATATATGGTGTCAAGGACTTTGGGTTTGCCATAATAACTTATTCTCTTGCACTAAAACATCAGAAATAGGTTGATCTTAAAAGTTAGTTTGGATCGGAGTAAAGGTTCTGCTCTCAGCTACAGATAAGTTTTTTTTTCACCTTAATGGTTTGAAGAACAAACACTTCCTTATTTTAGTTTGACCAAATTTCCTGAACCACAATGTCATCATCAAATTTTCCCCAAATTAAAGCACCAAAACCTTTTTAAACAGGTATTTTGTTCTTTTTTAGTGATGTCGTCCCTTCTCATCAGTTAGACCAAAAGAAAAAAAGAAAAAAAAAAGCATGTTGTTGAGATTAAATAAATTTCCTCCTATTTTTCAGATTTAGTATGATTGCAAAGAACCCAAACCTTGATGGTTTAAATATTCACATTCATTTGTAAATAAAACAAATTTGCCCTTTTGTTTTGCATTTTTTTATTTCACACTTTCCTTCCCCTTCATGACTACCCACTAATTTAAATTGGTGGATTAAAAAACTCAATAAGTTATAAGGTGTAAGGTTTCAATCAAAGCAAATGTTAATTACATGTGAATACACCCACAAGGCACTGTACAGCAGCACACCAAGACAACTGAACTTAAACTAGAACCCAGTACAATTTAAATATGCTACATGAAGTAATGCTTCACTTGTCTGCTATTCTAGCACTGATGGCAATTAATGATCCAACTTCTAAGGCTATTACACTTTTAAGTGGGAGCCAGATGGAGCTGGATTTCCCCCTATTTGCACTTACATTGTACTTTCTCAAATATCAGCTCTATAAATGTCGTCTTCATCGCCGGTCCATTAGCCCATGTTTTAACAAAATTTAGAGGCTCAAATTAAGAACTGATGCTTTTATGGGATTAAGGGGAAAAAAGGCCATTCTGCTTCACAGCTAAATGAATAATGGAAACCTACATTAAAGTTTAACTAGACCAAAACAAAGTGATGATGTTGGTTTTTGTTAGAGTTAAAGCTAAATCTAGAGATCCCAGAAACTGACATGTTTTAAATGTGGTGTATGTTCAAGATAAATCCAAAAAAGTACCCAAAACAGCAATTTTCATTACGCAAACTTAACATTTTTTTAAGTCTCTAAACTCTGTTAAAAGAACAAAATGCTTTTATTCCATTTAGTATTTATAGCACCAATTCACAAAATGCTATATCAACAGAGTCAGTGCAATCAAATCATTCAGAAAGATTGGTTTAAAGTTTTCTAAGGAAATCCAGCAGATTGGATCAGGCCAAATGCTGATGATTCTGACTTCGACAAATTGTATCCCCTAGTTCGCCTTCCTTTGTGTTCAACAATAAGAACCACATCATGGTAGAAATTAACTTAGTGCTGCTGTGTCTAATCCCAGCAGCTCTTAGCTTTATGGATATCATTACAAGACAGAAACATACATAAATGAAGCTTTTCAAATAACTTTGGGCCTACCATGGGGTGGGGTGGGGATAAAGCCACCAAACTATTTATTTATTTGGATCCTTTATATTAACATGAGTAATGCTTTTGCTTCCCTGTGCTTTTCTTTGACATTTTACTGTTCCATGTCAGTTAAACAGTTAAATAAAATGCTTCACTTTTTTTGTTAAGTTAAATATTTCACATTTCCAGGATGTCCATCACAGCATCCCAAAATTACTCAATTTTCTACGTTTTTATATTGTGCACCATAATTTGGTTGGGAAAAATGACAACACATGATTCAACAAATACAGCAATCAGTAGATTGAAGATA